AAATTAATTATTTATAATTCACTGTCAAAATAATTTATATAATCATTTTTATTTTTTGTTTTAAATATTATTTTTTGCCTCTGATTATAAATAAGCAAATTTCCATCAATAGATCTATAAACACAAATAGATTCAGAAATCTAAAGCGGAAAAAATACACATAAGCTAGAATGTTGTTTGTGAAATTACTCATGATAATCTTTATATTATTATTTTTCTCAGTTAAAAGTTTCAAAGCGTTCTCGTTATTCTTGTTTGTTTATGATATTAATTTATTTATCAAGAACACGATACTTTCTGATTATAATGATCCTAATGAGCGATATATTATTATACCACAATTATTATACCACAAATGGTTATTGCTGCAACGGCGAAAAACAAGCAGCGCGGACATTATTAGTAACACGTCATTATTACCGCTATTAAGCACACTTTTTTGCGTTCCCTATAAGAGAGAAAGCACTCCGACCCAATTAGACGTCGCGATCTTCTTCGCTGACTCAGCTCGCCTCAGAGAGCAGAAATTTGCTGAAAGCCGAAGTCTAAAGCCGCACGGATATTACGTGTCATAGTTAGCCACTTTGCAGAGGAATGATTACCTTCTATCATCTCCCGTCTTTTTATGTCGAGTGTATCCTCGGGACACTCGAAGCTGAAAATCTCAGTTGTAAACTCAACCAACCGATAATTCGTCGTTAGAATATCAAGACATAGTTTCGCACTATTTCAAAATTATTCGTATTTTTTTCTTGAGGGTCGGATTGTGAACGTTTGATGCTATTACATGATCTAATTAAATCTTTAAATAACATCGTCAAATTAATGCATTGATGACGAATTTGGATTACAAACGATCGAATTTATAGTAAATGCTCTTTAAATTTAATATTCCATTAGAGTGTTTTATGTCCATTGGACACGTTAGATGCGGAATAAAATTTTTTTCATTGCATATAAATATATGTGAAGGATAAAGTGCGGTGAATTCAGGTTTGTTTTGCAATCGTAGCTATCTATCTATCTAAAGTTCATGTTCTCTTTTAATGTCGTCGCGGGTTATATATAGCATTTTAATTATATCCGGGATTAAAATTGATAGATGCCCTTATCAAGATAATGTCGACTACGAATTATATCGAAACACGCGCCCCCGCGGATTCGATACAAATCTTGATGATGAGATGGCCCGCGTTATAGCATTTAATGGAAAAGTCGATACCTGTTTCTGACATTATCAGCCCTGCTGGTTTTAATATCTCATGGCGAAATATTAGTGGAATGGGGGGGAAGCGGAGGACATAATAAAGAACGATGATGTTCGCGGTGAATTCACGAGGACATCATAAATTTACGGAGCCGCTCGTATGTCTTCGCTTTCGAGGCGACATCACTTGACGTTGTTTGGAAGGGTAGGGGGTGGTAAGTGCGGGGGTGGCACTGGCTATATTGCGGCTTCTAATTTCCACTGGCGACCTTGAGCAAAGAAATCGTAAATTTTCTCCCGTCGCGCCTACCACGCCCAGGTGCGCGTGGAGGAAACTAGGGGGATGATTCCTCCCCGAAAGCCGTTTCTCTCCCCCTCCGTTTTCGCGTCACGCAGCATTCGCGCGGTCATCGCGTTCGTCCTCGATATCGTCTCGAAAGTGATCGCGTAAATCTTCCCTTCGGGTTCTTCCATATTTTTTACCTCACCGACATAAATCGCTTTGCTTAATTTTAAAAATGTGTCATCGTTAAAAGTTTAGTTTTCAGAATACTTGTAACGTTACATAGCAGTTATCTGTAATTGTATTTGGGATCTAATTAAATTCCTTGCAAGGAAAACTCTCGAGAATCGCATCGCTTAACCCGGAAAGTGTCTCGCGAAAGACAAATTATTTTCAAGGGAAGTTTCTTTTCTTCCCTGAATACAAGAGTACATGAATCGATAAATAAAGAAAATGTAAATTAATAATTTGCTTAAATATTGTAATATTGTTTTGTGGTTTATAATATTTTGATATTTTTTTCAGTATTATTTTCTTTTCGAATAAAGTTTTTAAGAAAAATATATAGTATTTTAGTTTTAGCCAAAGATTTTTGAAAAGATTTATTTTTTTGCAATTGTTTAATTTCCAGTTTTATTAAAATTTAAAGATCGAAACATCGCGGTGTTTTAACCCAAATTCCGCCGTTGTTTCTCACGACAAATGCATTTCGCTTCGTGCGTAACTACGCAAATTTCGCAGGATTCCGGCACGACACGATACAACCCGTATTTTGCATACCGTTGTCGGGGAAAGTCCGCGACATACCCTGTAATCAGAACACTTTCGCTCCGCCAAGTCAAAGGCGATAAATATCTGAATGCAGCTGTGCAGCGCATCTCGCTTCAGTAACATGCACATTTATCTGCAATTTCATCAACATGTCCGTTTTTACCCTCGTGTGTGTCCCGGATTCTCCTTTCATCGACAAAACTGCAGTAACAGATCCGATTGAGTGAGAGAACTAGTCTTGCCATCTCTCAATCTTAATTGTCATCATATCACATGTTCATTTCTCATTCCGAGAATCGAAGATCGAATGAGAGATCGTCTTTTATACGTGATTGTTTTCAAATTATCGATACACTGCAATGACATTGTTCGACTCTTCTGTTGCAGAATGGACCATGAAGAAACGCGGTGCCGGCTGGTAGTGGACAAGCGATCGGCCACATCGCTTCCGCCACATCGTCGTCGGTCGTCGCTCGCGACGCGTTCCCGGTACGTCGTTCTCCAGACCCGAAACGAGCGGCAGGTGTCGTGCGTGGCAGCAGATACGAGCTTGACAGGTGCGATAATCGGGGGTGGCCCGGTCGTTGCCGCCGCCGGGCCGGCGATGCGACGATGAGCTCGCCGAGGGTGCTGCTACCCCTCCACACCCGACCAAAGGTGAGTTATTTTTTTATCAACTAACATAGCTCTTCTGGGCAATCATTCTCTTTTCCTCCAAAACTGAGATGGTTTTTTTATTTGCCGTGTAATCTCATGTATATTCTTTCTCACACACGCATATTTTCATTGGTATAAAAATGTATCCAAATATGAAAATCTCATATAATAATTATATACTATTTTAAAATTTTTTAAATATTACTAAAAGAACATTTTTTTCTTTTTATGCACAAATTCTATTTATGCACAGAGATATGTCTTATCACAATGAAATAAGTGTGCACACACACACACACAACGTTTTTAAATATATATAATTTTTATAGAAATCAAATTTACAAAATATTACAACTTTTAAAATATATATTTAATATGCCAACTAATTATAATATTGCAAGCAAATCAATATTAATTTTTAAGAATGCCAAATAAGAATGAAAGAACTAATCAATTTAATGATAAACTATAAATAATTTTCACACTCAACAAAAATTAAATAAATTTATTAATTTATTTTCTCGCTTTAAGATTATAAAATAAAAGAAAACAAAAAAAATTTATTCTATCTAAATGTATAAATAAAATACATTTGCACGAAAGATATGACTTCTTTCAAAATTTAAACTGAGCAATCCTAAAATATCATCGATATAACGTGTCTCATTGATCCATTTACTCTGTCAATTTTACGTAACGAGGAGAAAGTAACGGAAAACGTATAATCAATGCGAAAAGTGCCCGGGTACGAAGAAGCGGGACACGTTTTTGTATTTAAAGAGTGTAATATTGCGAAATGTTGCGCGACGAGATCTGAAGAACGCACTCTCGTCTACAAAGACAATAGGACATTGTTAACGTGAGTGGAAAGGCTCCTGGATATATTATACATAAGTGTTTCACTTTTGTGATCTCGCAGCCCCGCGTAGTAGCAAGGCCGGGTAGTCTCAGAAGCTGCAACAGCGAGGCCGAGCGACGAGGAGCGGCAGGCGGTTCAAGGCCGAAATTATCCGCGTGGCCATGGACCACGAGGCAAGAAACGGAACCGGCGGCAACGACAACGAGAAGCTCACCAATATCTACTTCATTGTCGGCGACCGCAGGGAGACGGCCACTTACAAGACGAACCAGGTCACGGACATGGAACTCAAGGGTGAGTGGAGGAACTTTTGTTACATCTCGCCGGCGATGAGCTTTCATTGACTTTACCGTTGTATTCGGCAAATTTTTTCGTTTATTTAACATCTTCAAGAAATATTTACTTATATAAATACATATAATGACAAAATATATTATGGTAAAAATCTCTCTTGGTGGTTTTTATAAAATTATTAAGTTTTAAATTTCAAGTACATTTATTGAGGATTTTATAAAATTATTTGGATTTATTTCATATGTATTTATATTTTTGATAAAATTATATGAAATCGCATTTTTTTTCATTCGTTAACATAGTCAGTGTTTCTAGGGTATTAAAGTTTTATAGAATTGTCGGATTTTAATTAATAATTAATTAAAAAATTTGGAAGGCGACTCGATTTGTTTTTATTTCTAATTGAAGTTTACATGAAAATATATATTGTTCTTATTATCTACATTATAAATCTATTTTGAAAGTTTCATTATAGTTAAAAGTCGGTGGATTTAATTGCGATTATACAATAAGATTCTATGCCGATACAAAAATATTCAATTTATCAGCTAATCCGACTGACTCGCAAAGGGAAAAGGGTATTTTCGTGAAGTCAGCCGTTTATTCATCTCTCTTGAAGGGGGAAGATATTTTATCCGGAGGCTCGGGCCTCGTGTATTACCTTTCTCTATCCTTCTTTTCTGAAACTTTTTATTCGAGCTTACGCCAAGAGTGTGTATTACTTCGCGGATGAAAAGATCGAGGCAAGAATATTCGAGGATTTAATCACTTATCGATCCTTATCGATCGCGACCGTCCAGCCAATCCCGCGGCCGAGATATTCACTTTACCGCCTTCGCCTTCGATATGAGAGCCTCCCTTTCGAAGCACTACCGAAATTATGTTTGCACACACTTCACCTTCGTTGCCGTGACCTATCGACCGGACCTCGCCGTTGCTATCATCGGCTCGCTCGAGTGGTTGGCCGATGGACGTCCTTTTAGATCCCCGCTCCTTTCGGTCTGACGGTGAAAATAGCGCGAAAACGCACTTGTGCGTGAACTCGCACTCGTTCAACCGACTCCTTCAACCCTTTGACGGTTGGTACAATTATCTCGCGAGGGAATTGACGATGCGTACAGAAGCAGCTGGATTGCAAACTTTGCTATTGAAAGGCTTTTCGTGCCTATTTTCCGTTTGTTTCTCCGTATTTCGCCCGATTTTCCTCTCTTTTTCATCCGTATTTTCCCCTTTTCTCTTTGTTCGGTTAATTCTACTCGTAATTTTTCGCCACTTTTTTATCGCGTTTTTCAGCGTACCGTATTTTATTATACTTCAGGCGCTACTAGTGCAACGGTATATGTGTATATGTGTGCGCGGTATACTTTTCATAATTGTAGTTTTATTATATCTTTTATATCGTTGCTGCCATGCGTATCAAAATTTCACGTACATTTAACGGTATAATGGATTTTTCTCGTTTAGCGTTTGCGTAATTCAAAACATTGTTTCGTTAATTTTTTTCATATGTATTTCTTTATTTTATTTTATTTTATTTACATACGTATATATCAAAAGTTTCAACAGTCTTTTAACGATGCATTCTTAATCAATTATTTTTAATAATTTTCTTTGATGCAATTTATGTTGTAATAACGTTCGATATTTTCGCAGAAAATATTAAGTAGTTCAATCAACTAGTTTGTTTAACAATACTAATTTGATTAATGAAACCTATCTTGAATTAATTTATATATTAATTATCAAAAGAAAAACCTTGATAATTGATACAAATATAGATTATAAATGTAGTCGCTGATTGTGTTTTCGTTGAAAATCATTCGTTAGGAATGGAATACTTCAATTTTCGAAATGTCGGTCGCTAATTGTCCGCGCGTGTTTAATGCTAATATTATCCGGTAATTACCGTGGCAAAATATATGATTACGATCGATGGGCTGTGTTATTAAACGAGTTCGACGATGTATTATTTGTATGCTAGGTCGCGTCGTTACGTAATTAAAATTCTAATACGTTTACCACGTACAATCTTGTATACGATCTTGTGTACGTCAGTTAAGGGAAAACGGCTTTGTCAGCATTGATGATACAGCGGTTGTACACGATGGATACAAAGTCATGCTACAACGCGGACAAGTCTCGTCAAACGGAGCCTTATTGTGTAGCATGATCTCCGATCTGTCACGTCGTCCTAAAGCCATGCTCCCCGATCTGTTCAACTTCCCCGTTTGACACTCGACAAGATTGCACGTCGAGTTAAACCGCTATTTTCCGCGTTCAATGTTTTATTTCGTAACTTAAAGATGAAGAATATGCGATATTTATGCGGTTCTTATGCAAATCCTGATCGTCATTTGCCAGAAATGACAATTCTCTGCATTACGGGAATATCAAAAGTCATCAAAAAGAAACGTGTTCTTTCAATGACAATTAATACTTTTGATTATAATATTTTTCTCGTGAAACTTACGGATTACTTTTATTGTGGTGAGATGGGAATTGAGGTTATTGTCAGAAATGCAGCAAGTATTAAATTTGTTAAATAATTATTAAATAAATATAATATTTCGCAAATGGATTACGCAAATATTAAAAGTCATACTCTGAGAAAAGAAATGATTGTATCAATTTGAAGCATGTATTTTTTCTACTGAGATTTTTAATTGAAATCAGGAATCTTGAGATTGCCATGTTTGCCGATCTTAAGAGCATCACGTCGCTTTAATTACTTTCAATAGCATCGTGTTTCTCCCAAGACTATTACGTGCCATCGGTATTATGAGCGTTTATTATGGTTCCCACATACTTCGACTATGGTCTGTTGTTCGTCCTCGTTCCCTTATCGCTTCCACTTAAGTAAAAAGCTTTTTAACGAGGTCGACTCCGCGAAAAATATGCCGCGAGGATGTGCCACGCAATCAATCAATATCAAAAGCCCGCGTGAAGCAGAATCGAATCCTTCTCTCGACTTTTCACGGGGAACGAGAATTTCTCGAAGCGTTGCGCGAAAACGCGTTTCTCCCTGGAGATGAGAGAGAGGGAGAGAAAATGAGATTTCTCCGATAATTATTCATCGGGCTAGGCAGATAGAGCTTCTCGAGAAAAGAACGACGCGTGCGAAGGTACATATCTGTAATGAAAATAAAGAAAATTTTTCTTTTGGTTGTGCTTTTTATTCTCCTTCAGGCGAAAACGCGTCGAGTTTGTTCTTTTTCATCGAAGTCGTGCAATTTCCCGACGAGCTATTAAAGCGGAACTGACCGAACTGGAAAATCGAATGCCCAACGACTGGGTGCAGCTCTAAACGTCTCGCTCGCGCGGATGTTTTAGATGGCGAGCGTCCGTTGTTCGATACATGAACGATCGCGTTTTTATCCGTTTTATCGATCATAAGCGAAATAACGTGGTTCTCGCGAACGTATCTGTATTCTTTTTCTGAAAAGAAAAAATATAAGTGGAGAAAAAATAAAGCGCGAACAGCGGATTGGAGATGTTCAAATAATTAGGAGAAGTGATGATTTTTCGTTATTTATAAGAGAAATTCTCTTTTCGAATTATTCTTCTGTCCCAAACGATCGTATCGCTTTAATTAATTAATATAATTAAATCGAAACGACAAAGAGATCACTTTTTTATCTTATACTAGTCTACATCTTTTATCTTTCATTTTCTTCTTTTTATGAAAAAGAAATAAAAACTATTAATTTTGTTAATTGTGTAAACGATAAAACAAAAGTTGGTTGATATATATAAAAGGGGGCATCTATATAAAAGGTGCTTTATGTTTTGTCGCGGGAGCTTAATGAAAATAATAAATGTACATATACTTTTTTTATTTTACCGCTACAACTTTTATTACGAAAGAACCAACGACGTTTTCTTTCGTGCTTATATACTTTTTCTTCTGCAATGCTTCTAGCAATTATACACTGCATATTGCGCTGGAGAAATGGTGTTTTTATTGTCAAGCGTTAGCTTTTTATCAGCCTTTATAGAACTTCGCAATGCGTACCCATCCTTTCTCGTTATAATAATCAATCTGTCTTACGTCATTTCTTTTGATGTGTTTGCCGGCCATTGTAAAACTTACCGGGATCCAGCGAGCTTTTGTCATCGTCTCATCTCATTATCCGTGACAAGAAATTAATATCGGATACCGTCATTATACTCTCGTCTTACAGTAGGATTGTTGGTGCGATGTAAAAATCGACATTGCTCCGCGAGTGATGCGAATAATCTCGAAATTGCACCCGGCTATAATTCTCGTTATTCTCATAGATAATAATTTAATGTACTCTTATTTCTTGTGCAACACGAACAACATATTTTGCGCGACCCCGAGAGATTTTTTCTTTGTTTTTTTGTTTTTGTTTTTAACGTAACAGAGCAGCGCAACTTTCAATTTTTCACTTTAGATATTGCAATCACGTTTTCAGATCGGAGAGAGATGTATTGGATTTTGCTGAAAAGCTATTTTTCAGTTTTATGCCCCTTTTCCGCGAAGCTCTCGGCAGAACGTAACGAGACGCATTTACGCATTTACGTAATGCAATGCACGGCCTCTACAGGCATAAATATCGATTGGTGGGCCGAGGCGAGGCTCTAACGTGCCTGTGACCCCACCTGCCATCCAATCAAGTCGTGTCTCGAACATCCCTTACATGCTCTATTATCGGACAAATTGTGCAATTGATATATTCAATATTCTGTGCGAAATAATTTTTCTTTTATTTCTAAACAATATATATTGCAGAAACAAAAAAAAATAACGTGTTTGAATGAATATAATGCTTCAAAGATTATTTTCAATCAGATTTCGTATATAATTAAGAGAGTCAATTAAATTATAAAAATAGAAATGAGAGGTGGAAATAATCGTAAGAAAGTTTACTCGCATATTAGAGATGCAAGAAAAATATCCGAAGAATATGCAAAATGAATATTTTTTGCATTCATATTTGCTTCGCATCTCCGTTTCGCGAATAACGATGTTGAACCCA